CAGGCATGAGCCACTGCGCCTGGCCAAATTTTTATTATATATTATATTATTATTTAATAAACTTTTCCTTTTTTAGGTGGTTTTAGAGGTGGAAGAGGTGGAGGTGGTGGCTTCAGAGGAGGCAGAGGAAGTGGTGGTTTCAGAGGTGAGTGTTAAAGTCTTTAAATGATTGCATTTTTAGAATTGATAGTCTGCCATTTTCTCTTTTTATTTATTTCTCTCTGCCAGCAAGTATATAGAACACCATGGTATTCTTTGCTTAGCCTAATTTATGGCTTCATTTTGTATCACTCTTTCTTTTTCCTTTTAAGTTTTTCACCTACTTTTAATTTATTTTGCTTTATTATTGGAAAAATAAAAAAGGTGTAATGAATGGCAGTTAAACTTGGCAAAGTACGTTCGCTAAACATTACAGGAACTAATGCTGATTTTAAACTTAAGATTTGGGTAATAGTACTATTAAAAATCCATTTTTTATGCCCTTACTACCTTAATTTTCTCTTAATCAGGGAGAGGACATTAAATGTAACAGTTGACAGACTTCACCAGTTGGCTTCTGCATAAAACTGCACGATCTACTTCTACTATGGACTGAAAACTTGCTTCTTAAGCAAGTCTCGAAGATCTGGTCATTTTATGACAGTGAAACTAAAATGTCAATGTCACGCAAATATGAGTGCAACAGAATTTTGCTCTAAAAGAGCATGAACAAGCCTTTTAATGTTTTGTACGGTGCCTGGCACTCTGTGGGTGCTTAAATGAGCAGTTTTCATTTGAAGTATATTTGAATTTTTAAAATAAAGTGTTTTATTCCTTTAAGTTATTTAGAGTGTGTTTATTAAACCAAACCTGTTTTTTGAAGTTAACAAGAACAACTAAAGCTTAGACTCAGTGGATTACAAATAGTAAAAAGGATTTGTTTCCATATGTTACTGATCTTTTAAAAAACAGGCTGCTAGAGCAGTACTTTAAGATTGTTTACAGTTAATAGTCCCTTTTATATATGAGAACATTAGCACCCTTTTTTGTATTTCCCTTTTGTATTTTAATACATAAATTAAACTTAGTAAAGCAGTTTCTCTAATTGCAATAATTGATTTTAAAATTTCAGTATTAGGAATCTATTAAACTTGGAGTAGCTTTGTTCAAGTGAGAAATATATAAGAATTTCTTGAGAAACATTTATTTTGTCATTCACTATAGATGGAGTATTAAAAGTTTTACTGGATGTTCTTATTTTACTTTTACTTTTTCAAAGTACTCTAAAGGCTTAAGATGTTATTCACCATAAGTAAATCTTTGATTGCCTACTACATATTCAGATTTCTGGCTAGGGACGTTAAATGTTAAAAATGAAATTGGTCTTGGTCACCATTGCTAGTGTAGTATTAGGAAATAACCATGATAGCAAGTTAGGGTTCCATGATACAGAACCATTTACTCTGCTATTGATTTTTTCCTCCTTCACATGTTACTTCTTAGAAGGGATGATATTTCTATATCATTTATTAAATTTTCTAACATGCTTGATTTACTGTCGAATGCTCATTGGAGTAGCATATAGTCATCTATGTCATTTTTTTGGTTTTTCTTATCCTTTTTGGTTAATGAAATTACAGTGAGATTGATAAATTTATAAGTCAAATATATATAATGAATAAATATGTTGAAAATATTTTCACAGGAAAAGGAAGCTATACTTTTACAACTTAGGAAAGGAGGCTATTTGATTTAGAATTTTGAGGATGAAATTTTCAGTGAGTATTAAGGCCAGAGTTTTTGCTCTTGGTTTTTAAAAGACTTCAGCGAGCACCAGAGGGAGGATGGCATTATCCCAAGGACAAATAATAGTGCAACATTTCTACAGTATTTTTTTTAAACATTAAAAAAGAATCTAAAATGGCAATGATGGAAGTTAATATATAGGCCAGCAGACAAACCACCTGGAGATTTCACCTTTTACCTTAGGTATATCGTTTGGCCATCTTTTAGCTTCTCCCGCACCCCCTTTTCTTACAGTATGGTTCTTTCTGGGTTTCCTTTGGGGCATTTCATTTTGAATAAAGTTCACATGTATTTCTAAGCCTCATCCCAACATAGCTTTTCGGTGTCACTCGTGAAGGAAGCATGAAAAAGTACTCTGCACTACCTCACGCAAATCTGGAAAAAGTTTCATCCGCAGCAGAAAGCCGGCCATCTTTGGAATTATTTTTCAGTTCTTAGAAATAATTATTTCTCAAAATTTTAAATGGATGCTAATACTGGGTATAATCTATTACAGAAAAGGAAGGGAGTATAAACCAAATTCAGAAATTTTTAAAGTTTTATTTTGCTTACTGAATGAGAAAGAAAAGCAAGAAAGAAAAAGACTTAAAACCCAACAAGCCGTAGATCTTTAAAACGGAGGAGAGAGTTGTGCTTCGGTCATTTGAAAATATTTTGATACTTTCGAGAACTGATGAGATTCTTTCCTAGTCCAGGTATTCTTCGGAGTGTTGCTTTATATTTGTAACGATTTTAGTGCTGGTAGCTGTAAGATTTGGGAGCGGTCAGTCAACTTGTTTGCTTTCTTGAGTTTATATAGAGGTGAGAGAACTGAGGCAAAAGCACTATCTTAGGGTCCCTTCCTCC